GAAATCGCTGGTCAATCTGAGCAAGAGAGTGAAATAAGTGAGATTCTCTTCATTGACTCTCTCCTCAGAAACTAACTTCAGTTCTATGCTCTTCTGCACCTACAGCCAGGGGTTATGATGTTAAACTGGTTTAGTACAATGTTGGGGTCTAATTCAGAGTATTTTTTTAAAATGGGATTCCTTTAATAAAAAATTTGAGTCACATAAATGGGGTGTCCTTCTGTTACATAGACACATGTCACACTAACCCACTAAACACTGCTTTGAAGCAATCGACTGAACCTGAGTTCCCAAAGCCAACAGGCATTCTACAAAGAATGTACAATACAGAAACAAACCAATTAGCCCAATCAGTCTGTGCCGGTGTTTATACTCCACATGAGTCTCCACCTATTCCTTACCCCCTTTCATACCCTTCTATTCCCCTCTACCTCATGTGAAAGTCTACTTTCCTCTTGAATGCTTCTATGCTATCTGATTCAACCACCGCTTCAAGCAGCAAGTTCCACAATCTCACTACTCTCTGTGTGGAGCAGTTCCTCCTAAATTCTCTTTTTGATCCTCTCGTCACTATCTTATATTTGTGCCCCCTGGTTACAGACTCCTCAACCAGTGGAAACAGCCTAGTTATGTTAACTAATGGGATTCCTCAGTAAGAAATTCCATTCCAAAATGCCATGAATTAGATCCATTGTCTAGGTAGCATATGTAACATGTTGCTTCATTTGTATGTATGGCCATCGTCTCAACAACACACGGCTTGCATTCCTATAATGCCCTTCACATGGCATCACTATAGCATCTTGGAGTACTTAAAGCGGCATTAGTACAGCTGTACTTTTCTTTGTCAGGCGGGTATCTAACAAATGCGGAAACCTGTCATCAACAGTGCCTTAGAGTGCTGTGGACCTATGTGACTCAGGAACCAAAAACTAAGATCACACGGAGGGTCGACTTGATTTGGGTCTTCCATTTCTCAGATATGTCACCTTGCTGAAATTACATGACAGATATTCTTAACAATCACCAGATTGGACTGAGAACAAGTACTTTTTTCAATGAAACCTTAGGAAAGGGGGTGATGCACATGAAGCACCAAGGATGTGAGGCAAGCACCTTTGGTTTACACAAGTGAAGGTAGGAGGAGGAGAAAAGTGTGATTGTTTGCGTACATGGGAAGCAAACAAAGAATAACATTTTCACTACAGTGACTGCTTCCAATAAACAGACACTGAAGAGGTGTGGGAGACTTGAAGAGTGGCTGAACTGCTAAGTAGATTGCCGGAAATAAAAGTGTGGGCTCATGTTCTGTGATGCTCCTTTTAACCTCCACAATTCCCTCTTTATTTCCTTCTTCCCGTTCTTCAAACTAGATTTTTGTGAACAAGATAGGGATTCCTCTCAATCCCAATAACAGGGTCTCATTGACCCCTGTACAAGTAAATAGATGTCCATTAAGTTGGCCAGTCATTCCTCATTGTACCAAATCAGGAGAATCCCTTCAGCTAATTGCTGAATTTCATGGCACAGTTAACAGGAACCCCTTCATCAGGGACTTTCACCTCAATATCAAGCCACTTTGTCCCTGAAAACATCTTTGCAATCTCCTTAACATTATACAGTGATTTCACTTTCCTGAACAGCTACAGTAGACGTGCACTGTACATTGATTTACCCAAGAACTCTAATTTGTCTTGTAAATTGACATTGATAATGATCGCAATGAATTGTGTGTATTGTGCTCTAGCCTAACTCTGCTTTAAAGTGGGAGTCCACTTAGATATCTAAGTATAATTTAAAGATTAGCTGCATAGAATACTATAAGATCTGCACTCTATGCTTTGACAACAGAGCTTTTCTTGTCCATGATATTTGGAAGTCGGGATGACAGAGAGATCAGGACAGGTAATCCTGCCCCGTGAATCTGGCTAATAAACTGTCTGAATTACAAAACTGCTGTGGCACTCATGCAGTGGGGGTAAGAGAGCAAGAGTCGGAGAAAGAGAGAGAGAGAGGATAAATTAAAAATGTGGCCGTCTTACAGATTGCGGAATTAAACAGTTGGATAATTTAATTGATGCTTCAGTCTGGAGGAAAACTGGGGTAAACAAACACTCCTCTTGCAAACAGGAACATTGCTGACACTTTGTCATCAGGAAAAGTATCTCCTGACAGGTACTGCGTTTTCTGTTGGGAAACATTCCTTGTTGTTCCTTTTGAAACACCATTAACTTTCTTTAAATGTTAGCCGTGGCACACACTCACCAGTCAATCATAAGGTGGGACCTGGGATCGATATCCTGAAAATTGCTCCCTGAATCTCCACTCCCATCTGCCATATCAAGCCAGATATTTAGTATAAAAATCTAAAGAAATGAACCTTTTTCCATAGATTTCCTGATCTGCAGGGTTGAAATGTCACTTTTAGACCCAAAAGCTTAGTTTTTCAGAATGGGGATTCCTTCAGACTACTATTGTCTTGAGGCCACGAGAGAGGGGGAGATGGGAATTTATGTTGCCGATAACTATATAATAAGCAAGATTTTATAACATATTCCTCATGATAACTATCACAAAGATGTTGTCTTTCTAGTGAGTTGTTAAACCCAGGGTCTGTTCAAGTCGACATTGATGATATAATAGCACTGTTCGAAAAGAGTTTTTCTTGGTGTCCTGGCCAACAATCCCCCAAATTAAATTGGACATTTAATAACAATAATAATCCTTACATTTGATATAGCGCTTTTCACATCGGGAGGACGTCCAAAAGTGCTTCACAGAACACACTGTAAAGTGAATTGACTGTATATTTGTGGGCGATCGCGGCAGCCAATTGCGCACAGCAATGTCCCACAAACAGTCGTAGATTGAAAATGACCAATTTATTATTGTTTTTGTTTTTGGAGGGATTATTATTAGGCTCTGTGTGGAGTAAGGAAACTTGATAGTTTGTGTGACATTGCTGGTACAAATTGGCTGTTACATTAGCCTACAAATTCAATCACCTCACATTACAAAAACTGTGAAGCACTTTACGGCATTTCAAAGTTGTATCAAATTGCAAGGATTATTATTACTCAATGTTAAAATATTATGTTAAAAATTATTACTCAATATTAAAAGAAATTAATCTTGTACATCTAACAGTACCTCCGCTGTGAACAGCTTCAAACATCGAGCCTTATCACGAGACATTTATCATTCTTAGCCATTGTTTTTAAAGTTACGCTATTGCCTGTTCTAGTGATCTCCTGCTAAAAGATTGAAGTACATTCTTCTCCCCTGACATAGTCCCAAGAATAAGCCAAAGGGCAGGGCAGTGAGGGCTAACCTCTGCCAAAGCACAACATGCCAACAGTCAACAGCAACAAAGCATTGTGGCTTTAGGGCAGATCGCTCAGAACTAAGTCTCGGAGCAAACACAAATCAAACAGTTACGTTTCAACATGCCTCTTGTCACAACTGCCGATCGTGCATATGCAAGTGTCAGAAGCATAGATTTCATCTGGAAAAGAACTGTTCTCTTCACGATGATTAGACTTAAAGTGCTCTTCCTGCACCCAGGTCTTCAGGTTTAAAGATTCTGTGTCACTTGGGATCTCGAGCCCAAGATTAATTTTATACCAGAGAGAAAAGGATGAAAATTTCAGATGAAGTTTTCACAGAAACATGAGGGTCCCAAACTTGAGTTTGAGTTCAATCTGAATTCATGGAACTCACAGAGTCAAGAGACCTAAGATTCACCCAGCCTGCCTGATATTTAAGATTACACAGAATTGTAGAATATTCTGCAAAACAATGATAATTTGGAAACCGGTTCTTTTGAAGAACTGAGAAAGAACGGCTTCCAAATTAAAGGCTAAATTTAAGAATTTTCTTTAAGACAAAATGATCTTTAAGGCTAACACTAAGTGGAATGTTATGCCAATGTTTCCAGCCCAGAAGGAGGCCATTCATCAGATGGTGTCTGTACACAGGCCGCCGAAACCCTCATACACGCCTTCACTACATCGAGGCTCGACTATGCAAACTCACTGCTTGTCGGCCTTCCCAACTCCTCCCTCCACAGGCTGCAGATCATCCAGAACTCTGCAGCCCATATCCTCACCAAATTCCATGACCCTATCACCCCCATCCTCACCCAACTCCACTGGCTTCCCATCACACAGAGGATACAGTTCAAGATCCTGGTCCTCACCTTCAAAGTCCTCCATGGTCTTGCTCCCACCTACCTCTCCAACCTCCTAAACCCCTTACCACTCTGTTCGCTCCCTTCGCGCAGCGGGCTCCAGCCTTGCTCGCCCCACTATCGGTGGGCGGGCCTTCCGCCACTTTGCACCCACCCTCTGGAACTCCATCCCGCAGTCCCTCCGTCTCGCCCCCTTCAAGACTCACCTCAAGACCCTCCTCTTCGGCCATGCTTTCGATTTCCCTGCTTCCCCCCCTGCCCTCCACCCTCCCCCACCCCGACCCTCAGCTCGGGTCCATCTGTCCAGCGCCTTGGGACATCCTCCCGACATGAAAGGCGCTATACAAATGTAATTTTGCTGTTGGTGGTGGTGGTGCTAGAGTTGAACCCCATTATGCTACACAAAATCTTAACTATAATGAGGCGCGATAGCAGATTTGACTGTAAATATATATCTAATCATTCCAGAGGTCATCAAAAACCAGACACATTGAGCAAGCCACTGGGTGCATGTGCAGTAAAAGGGAACCACAAGATAACTGCATGATAAACAAGCTGATGCTATAGTGAAGTGCATTATAACAGGGCGACATTGTAGCTTTCCCCACTGGATAATGCACTCTAATCCCATTCCCCTCGGTGCGTGGATGGATGTTTGTGATACAATAACATTGCCATGTTTGATTCATCCATTTGATTCAGATTACCTCGTATATGTATAAAAAATGAATAGAATATTTCATCAAAAAAAATCAGGAAAAGGACAAAGATCCCAAGTCAACATCAAACTCACCGCCAACTAATTACTTACCATCATCTGCGTCAGGAAGAATGAGCACGCGAGCAGTGGGGTAGTGATTGCCAATCTGACCGCCCATGGGCATGCTCAGTGTGATGTTGAAACTCTCTTCTTCTTCATAAAGAGAATCATCGATGACAACGACACGACAGAACTTCTCCATCTCGTCCTTGTCGAACCGAATTACACTGGTGTGATCCTCTGGGCGGGTGATATAGTCAGAATAGGACAGGACGGAAGATGGAATTGTGCCACTTGCGCTACCTGATAAAAAAAAGGGAGAAAGACATTGTATCTATGTAAGTTAGCACAAAGAAATAGATGTACAGACTGAACCATTGCTTTTTCTTTCTGTGTTCAGCTTCCCCGACTGCCATTACTCTCTTTCACCCTCTCTTCGTGCCATTGCTATCCTCCCCTCTCTCTGTCCTCTCCTTCGTCTCCTCTCCTTCAGTGCAATGTGTTAAGTCAGCATGGCTCAGTTCTCAGTTGGTATTACTCCTGCATCTGAGTCAGAAGGTTGTGTGCTCAAGGCCCCACATCGGAACTTTGAACTCATGTAGTCGAGGCTGATCTCGAATACAGTATTGGGGGTCTGCTGCATTGTCGGAGGTGCCATCCTTCAGGTGTCTGCCTGTTCAGGTGGACGTTAAAGATCTCATGGCACTATTCAGAAAGAGCAGGTAGATTTTCCCGGTGTCATGGCCAACAATCCCCCTGATAAAATTGATCATTCAGTTTGTGGGTCGTTGACACAACAGTACAAATTGGCTGCCACGTTTGCCTATAAAATAGTCACTACATTTTACAGAATATCCCGTGAAACGCTTTGTGATGTCCTCCTAACGTGATCGGCATTATATCAAGTGTGAGGATTATTATTACTGTTGCTTTTAGGTAATGTTATGTAATTAGAAACCTACCAAACTTAATTCAAGCTTTCACCACAGTGGTGAGATTTTAGTTTGGAGCTCAACTTCAAATGCTGTTTGCTTATATAAGTTTGCTTCCATTTTAGCTGTAAGGTTATCTATTGTACAGATTTTATCTAATGTGTTTAACTTTTTTTCTAAAAAAAATAATCTGGTTTACAATAAAGTTTTTTTTTAATTGGCAGCAGATATGTTCAATAATCCATCTTCAATCCCTTCTTATTGATAAACAACTTGTCCTGAAAATTTCACACCCTCTGTCCTTAGACAACATGAAATACCAGTATCCATTATGACTGATAGATCCTTTGTTGTTGTAACACAGGACCACAGAATATCGCTCCTATCACTGTAATCTGGGAATAAACACTGAAATCGTATTGGGCTATATTTCTGGTGCAGATTCAGAAATGCTAGTGCAGTCCTGAAAGAGTTAAGTTAATGAATTCTGCCTTTCGGTTTGTTTTACTACATGTGGTGGTCCTTTTACAAAATAATAGTATGTCTTCAATAGACCACCCTGGGGCATGCGAGGGTCAAGCAAACCTGATGTGGTAGGTTTAGAGCAGCTTCCTTTGATGTGCTTGGACAGGATAACAAAGAAAAATTGTTGTTTGCAGGCCACTGCATGAATAATTTATAAACTACCTGTGTTAGAGGTTGGAAAGGCTGTAACTGTTGAACTTTTAGATGCAATCTTTTTTCTCTCAGTTAAAATGATAATACATTATTCCAGGAACAATCTAAATTTACTGTCTGTTACCATATTGGGGTGAAAAATGTGACCTAACCAAAACACATTCACTGCATTTCACAGCAAACTTGCTAGAGTATATAAAAGAGAAGGCACTAAACATATATAATGCAAGGACTGTTATTACAATTGTCATTTTCCAATCTTATTATCGTATATATGTTAGAAAAACCCCAAAAGAAAATGATCATTTGTCAGGTTTTAAATTGGACAGTTCTTAAAGAATGTTTGATCCAGTGCCATCTTAACACCTTCAACATTTAACATGTAAGAATATGTATATAAAATATGTTTTGTTAAAGGAAAACTAAGGAACTCACTGTCTTTTTGTGAATGTGTTCAGAAAAGTGCGCTGCTTTCTATTGCTGCGCTCCACTCTGGACAGGGGAGCATACAATACATCGGAGTATAGATCGATTCGCTTGACATTGGGGGGAAACAAATTATAAGCTCTTGAGAGATAAAAACAAAGCAAAAAAAGTGAATCTAAGAAAGATCAGCCGTGAATGTGAAATGGATGGAGCAAAGGGGGAGGTCAATGGGCCTGACCCTGATCTGCAAGAAACAGACCTTCAGAGATTTTCCGTGACCCGCAACATTTAGATATAAAGAGAAACAAATACCTGGTCTGTGCACTCCATGCTCTCTGATGACAACTAGGATGAACTATGGAATTTGTCATTTTCTAAAGAGCCCTGCTAGCTGATGAAGCTATCTCACAGGGACAAACAGGAAGGGAGGCAATTTGCACAGATGAAAGCTAAAAGCAATTTTATTTGGGCCAGAGGGAGTGGTAATTTTTAACTGTAAAACCACCAATGGAAAGTTTATTTCTAATTGTATGTTACTGAAGCATTACTAAACTCAAAATTTCAGCATCAATAGATTGATCTTCAATAGCAAAGTGGTTCTTAAAATGTAATGTGTCCTGTGCCCTTGGTGTAATGCAAAGAAAAGCAAGTTTAATTTAATTTGCAAATAATCTTCATTAACTCTGTTCTCTTTATCAAACATCTCTTCCCATGGCTTTGTCACTTTAATTTATTAATGGAAACATTTCTATCTGCACCAGACATCTTCCATGTTCTCGCTCTCTGGACACATCCCTTTTTGCTGTGACTTAATAGAATCAAACATCAAAGAGCACCAAATTAATAGTTTTTTCTAATGGGAATAGTGCCTTAAGGCACAGGACATTTTTTGCTTGCAAGGAACTTTATGAATGCATGCTACTCTTTCCATAATTTAATACAATGCTAAAGTATCCCATTCTCAATAAAGATGAACTTTTGTAGCTTCCCTGATGGACCAGTGGGTAATGTCACCAACAGCAGTACATTACTGGACTCTAGGTTGAAAGTTACATAATCTCTGGTAGAGTAACAATTGGAACTCTACAATGAGCTTCAGCCCATCGGTTCTTGGATATCCTTTCAAGCAGAGATCTAGTGAACCCAACATATTTTTCCTTTCTCTCTCTGGTTCCTTTACCTGGTTTCCTTTAAACTTGCATATAATTCATACATTGTTCATTTATTTTTAAATTCATAGATCTGAAACTTGACCTTTTCTTCCTGCCAAAGCATCCCTTTGTTAGTAAAGACTATCTTTGTATCTTCCCTGATGGGCAAGTGGGTAAAATCATCACCCGAATTCAGCACTAATCCACACAGATTGGCTAGTGCAGTATGTGTGCCCTATCGGCTCACCTTGCTGGGTAAAGCAGATAACCATGAGCTCCTGATTAACATCGCCAGACCTCCAAACAGGAATGAGGACCTCCCCAGTATCCTCCTCAATCCGATACTCTGACTGAGGAATGTAAACAGTCGATTCTGTTCAAAGGAAAAAAATGAGGATCAAATGATTGAACGGTACAAATGTTTCCTAATCGGTGTAAACTTTAAATATCAGAGTGAAATGTTAGAATGGAGAACGTGAGTGTTGGGGGTGAATGTCGGGTGAGGATAGAATTGGTCTTGGTTGTGATACCTTTCAGGATCAGATAATCCTCCTACATTATGCTCTTATTTGCGGAGTTGTGGAGTCCTGTAGCTCAGTGGTTAGAGCACTCGCTGTGCAAGTGAGAGACCTGAGTTCAATTCCAGGCATGGCGAAACCTTGGGCAAGTTTCCTTACTCCACACACCTAATAATAATCCCTCCAAACCCAAAAACAATAATAAATTGATCATATTCAATCTACGACTGTTTGTGGGACATTGCAGTGCACAATTGGCTGCCGCGTTCGCCCACAAATATACAGTCAATTCACTTTACAGTGTGTTCTGTGAAGCGCTTTGGGACGTCCTCCCGACGTGAAAAGCACTATATCAAATGCAAGGATTATTATTATTATTATCTATCTAGATTCACTCATGAAGAATGGCAATTTTTGCTCGGTAGTGAATGGTGTGCTGTCCTTGTAGTGTTACTGCTCGAGTCCAAATCCCCGCCTGTCCAGCGCTTTGGGACGTCTGGTAGATGTGAAAGGCGCTGTACAAATGTAATTTTGTATTGTACTGCAAAGAGTCAGCACCTTCACCAAAGCACGGCATAAACGGGAGGAACAAATAAGGGTAAAAGATGGCATTCGGAAAAAGATACTTGTGGAACACGGATGAAATTGGGAAATTTGTGGCACAATTTGATAAAAGAAATTCGGAAGAATCCTGATCCCTTAGCTTACCTCGTCGACAGCAATTTATTTTAAATGTTCTGCGACACTACCCTACGCGAAGGGTGCTATATAAATGCAAGTTGTTGCTTTCCATTCACTGACTGAGCTTTTCCGGCTTCTCTTGGCTGAGAAACAGGCAGATAGCAAAAGCCTGACCATGATTGCAAAATTTTGCTGACTTGCAGTTTGTCAATACAGCATTTAGAACCCTGCTGTAACTTTATGTAACATTATGTCTGTTCAGCAGTACCGTCCTTGGGGATATTTTTCTGTCACAGGCACAATCACAAGTTAGAACAAATTGTTTGCAGGATTCTAATATTTCAGTAACCAAGTCAACCTTCATTTTGAGATTCCCCCTCTCCCCTCTCCCCCTCTTTCTATTACTGACATAAAACTAACAGACGCCATCTATTGATGTTCTATATGAAACAGCCTTTCATGGTAACTTTGCTCCTGGTGTGAGGAGGATGAGAAAGGCACTCCAGCTCGGTGAGATAGGAAATGAAGCACAGTGGTGTAACATCAGTTCTTAGCTCCATCACACTGAGACTTCACTGAATGGCCATTCACTGACCTCCTCGGCATTAAAATGCCTGCAGGGCAGCTTTCCCATTGTAGAAAAGTTTGCAGATGATGGTAACTTTCTGGATTATGCAGAGAATAACCGACTGCTGGGAGTGACTAAAAGGCTGCAATAACTCCAATAAAGGTATTATTCGAGAGGTTCAGATTATAATTTAAATTATTATAACAAAGCTTAAGTGTTTTTAAAAAGTTCCAGAGCATTGGAACTTTAATAGCATTGACTGCACATTGTCTGTTCATTTTATGGAGGAGGGGGCTGTGTTATTGCATTTTGTTGTGTTGTTGTGTGCTAAAGGTGGAGGGTATCTGTCAAGTGCTCTGGGACTTTATCGTGTGTGAAGGGCGCTATATAAATGCAAGTTTTTTTTATATAAAGAGTCTTCCAGTTGTGCATAAAGAGGAATTCTTTTGTTCCGGATGCTCACAAAGTCCTGTAACCCCCCCCCCCCCTGTTTTTTCCTCACAACGAATGTTTATTTTGTGCTGCAGGTGAGTCGAGTGTAACAATGTCCGGTTCCAGTGACTTCCTCGTCACTCCATCCATGTTACAGAAGATGTCACACCGAACATTGCGACAGGTTATTTATTACCTGCCATGAAAATGATGACGCTCACACTGATTCTCTGGACATCTAAATACAGTTAAACACTTGTACTGCATATAATTAGGTACTTCTAAATTCAATTGTCAACATTCTTCCACATGTTTCAGTTGTTGGAGTAATAGGACTTTGTAAACACCCTATTGTCTGTATCAGATCTGATGCGCCTGCAATCCGCACGGAACTCACCGTCACCAGGATCAACAATCTCAACGGTGGCCGTTTCGGGGAACTCCAGAGCAGCCATGACGGGGTCGGAGAGAACAATCTGGAACGTCTCTGAACTCTCATACTGCTTGTCAGTGAGGATTTTTACTCTCCAGGTAGCAGTGGACTGGCCTGGGTTAAACTGAACCTGCTTCTGGGACCTCCCTTTGAAGTCTTTATCCTTTTCAGCAGTACCGTCCTTGGTGCCAATACCTGGAGGAAGGAAGTGAAAGAAGCGTCATCTGCAGTCTACTCTCTTCCCTGAAAATAATTAATTAACTACCCACTCTAGGGCTGTTTTTTGGGACACTGCTGTGCGCAACTGGCTGCCATGTTTCGTCCACAAAATACACAGTCAATTCATTTTACAGTGTATCCTGTGAAGCGCTTTGAGACATCTCAACGACGTGATAAGGCGCTATATCAAATGCAAGGATTATTACAATGGTTATGGTTAAAGTACTAGCCTGTAACTTGTCACTTCAATGGCAGAAAGCTGCACTCTAAGGAGTCATAGATTTCAGGCTAGCTTTGAGGTTTTCTAGGCCAGGTTACTTGAAGGACGCCTGGCAGGGAGTTCATCATGAAAGAGACTAGGAAGTGTAACTGATCAGCATGGTCTCTGTCAGCGTGAATGAAGTTATAGTGGAAAAATGTGCACCCCCAAACCATCCTTCTGTCTGGAAGGAAGGATGGCCGCAAAGAGATGGAAAGACATCAACCTAAAATAAGCACTACAACAGACTAACACTGCACGCTGCACCAATACAAGATTCCAGCTCTGTTCAGTACTGTGGTTTTAAGTCAGTAATTACTTAAGCACCCTGAGCAGCTCCACCCTGAAAATGTTCCTGCACCCAGCCCTCACATTCCACTACTTCCACTCTGTTCTTCTCTCCCACCACCTGCCTCACCTTCTCTTTATCCTGGACCCCACCATCACCTCGTCATCACACATGGTCTTTACATTTCCAACCGATCAATCACATACAAGGCCATCTCAGACCACTTCTTCAACTGCCTCTCCTCCCACATCCCCCTCCCCTCTTCCAAACCCTCCACCATCTTTTTCCGCCACTGGAAAAAGCTTCCCCGAGTCCTCTCTTCCTCGGACTTCCTCTCCCTCTGGCCCTCCACGATCCTGATGCACCTATCAAGCTGCTGAATGACCGTCTCTCCACAACCTTCAATTCCCTGGCTCCCTTGAAATGCAGGGTTGTTTCCAATCCCACCTGCTCCCCCTGATACAACAGTGATCTCCGCTCACTCAAAACACAAACCCGGATGCTCGAGCGCAGGTGGCAGAAATTTGGCCTCACGATTCACCGTCATCTGTGGCTCGAGCACTTCCGCACCTCTCCCTTTCACAGGCCAAAAATGACTTTTACTCCAAAGACATCCTGGAGGCAAACAACAATCCAAAGATGCTGTTTTCCACTGTACATCACCTCCTTCTCACTTCTCACCGGTCTCCCCAACTCCACCCTTCACAAGATGCAGCTCATTCAAAATTCTACTGTCCACACACTGACCTGAACCCACATCTCAACAGTTCTGGCCAGACTCCACTGGCTCCCCATCACCGAACGGAATGACTTCAAGATCCTCACTCTTGTGTTCAAATTCATTCATTCCCTGGCACCTCCCTACCTCTCTGACCTCCTCACTCCCCAATCTACCACCCGGCACCTCCGCTCGACTGGCACAGGCCTCCTGCTCGGCCCTCGCACCCTCCGCCCCACCATTGGAAGTCGTCCTTTCAACCATTATGCCCCAAAACTCTGGAACACTCTCCCTCAATCCCGCCGCCTTGCCCGCTCTCTCCCCTCTTTGAAGTTCCATCTGAAAACTTTCCTGTTCAACAGTGCTTACGGCCACCTCCCCTCGGCTCTGCCACTGTTAAGTGCTCTGAGATGCTATCCTGCATGGAGGGTGCTGTATAAGTGCAAGTTGTTGTCATTGTAAACTAATTCTCCAGCCAATAACTTTTATTAATATGTCAATATGATTCCAAAGCAACTTCTCAGAACTCAGCCACCATATCACTCTCCTTCATAAGAGAAAAATAATCAGAGCTGCAGACAAAGTAACAGGTTCCTGAATAATCTGATTTTGGATATAGAGAAAGAGATATGGAAACAGAGATATTGAGATAGAGATAGAGGCAGAGATATTAAAATAGAAATATTGAGATTTGAAGACAATGGAACGACAGAAATGAAGATAGGTAGATAGACATATAGTGATGTGCATATAAATGTGGTAGGATATACCTGTAGTTAGATTCCAATCCGCAAAGAAACTCAATGGATAATGGTATAAATATAAACCATTCTATATTCTACCTTTCATACTATAGGGTGAATATTGTGAGGTTATAATTGCTATATCTCAGATCACAGTTTCCACTTCTATAATTCCATGTTGTTTGTTTTCCTCAGTTCTGAGAAGCCCCAGAATGAAACATGTTACAAAATAAATAGTGCTTCACCCAGGACCTTGCTGCTGTGTTTTCTCTGGGGAATGGTTGTGAAATGCAGTTACATTTATCATTGTGTAAAAAGGGGATCAGGATGGCTTATTGTGCAGTTCACAGTAGGAACGCAACGTCTATTGAATGGTCTTTAAAGTACAATTCATACCTGCCACTGAATTACAGTTCTACCCAGACATTAAGGTATGGTCTGGAGCAGTCTGTTAGCAAACAACCTATAAAACCTCCCGACAATGATTCTGAGAAAAATAACAGCACAAAGCATATGGGAAATTTCCATTTTTGCGCAAGATTTAACTGGATCTCTGGGGAACTTACCAACAAAGGATGTTTCTCCCAAGTATCCCCTTCGCTTCAGTGTCACCTCCAGGAATTTGGAGTCCTCATCCACAAGATAATATTCCTTCTCCAGGGCAATCCAAGCCCAGTTCAGACGGAATGGCTGGCTCTTCAGCTTATTTCTTCCTACATGTCATGGTTTAGAAGAGAAAAACAGACAGATGCACTTTAGGTGATCTAATCGTTTAGGAGCAACAGAATAGAATATCTCACCACCTTTAACCAACAGTATAGATTATATCTACAAGTGGTATCATAGCCTCCTGCAGTGCATCAACATTTTTATACAACTGACCCAACATTTGTAAAATACTCAGGGTGGTTCCCCTACACCCATATTTTGAATTGGATGTTACATTAATGTCCCGTCCACCTGGTTTCAGATGAATTTAAAAGATCCGATGACATTTACACAGTACAGAAATGGAATTAAAACAATAGATTATCATGAGATGGAAGAGATCCAATAATTATAAAACTCAAGTTGTCCCGAACAAAGCAGCATTCCAGCTTGTCAAGTTATATGTGGAGTCTTGTAGCTCAGTGGTTAGAGCACTCGCTTTGCAAGAGAGAGACCTGAGTTTCATTCCCGGCAGGATGAAACCTTGGGCAAGTTTCCTTACTCCACACGCCTGATAATAATCCCTCAAAAACAAAAACAATAATAAATTGGTCATTTCAATCCACGACTATTTGTGGGACACTGCTGTGTACAATTGGCTGCTGCATTTCGCCTACAAATATACAGTCAATTCGCTTTATAGTCTATCCTGTGAAGCGCTTTGAGACGTCTAGAAGACATGAAAAGCGCTATATCAAATGCAAGGATTAGTATTACTATCATATTTCAGTCTATTTGGTGCTAGATAGTGGCTTAAAGAAGTAAACGTTCAGAGAATTCACCAAACAAATAGTTACTAAATAGTTTACAGCTCAGAATATCAGGTACATATTTCTATAAAAGAAAGTATTAGTGAGGATTATGAGTACATTCCAATCTCGTAGAGAAAAGAATAGATATTTTGCAGTTGCTCAATATGTGAAATCTTTTAAACACCAGATTTCCCTGGCAGATAGCTATCTATCATTATCCAAGTGTAGGTATTAAAAATCCTCACATATCCCAGAGAGATTTTTTTTATTTTGGAACAGAAAAGATAGCGGGTCAGTTTAGATGTTACAGTCCCTGAACAATGGGGTTTAAACAAGACTGGATTAAAAGTGAATAGTCCGGCCACTTTTCTCCCTGTTTCACTGAGTGCAAGAAGAGATGTGTTGTACATCAAGATCTTAAACCTCATTCATTGAATATGAAGGTGGGAAGGGTGACATTTGTGGTGTTTTATAACAGGCTCCTTGTGATAACAGTGATAACTATCACAAGAAATGTGTTACCAAATACCAAAAATTCCTTATTATTCCTCAATTATCACCAGACTGCATTCATCTGTCAGCTCTTCTTCTAAGTCACCTCCCTTTCCCCACAACCTTAGCTCAGTGGAAGAGTCCAAGAGGATCTCTGCTCTCAAATTCTTATTTGTGGACCAAGTAATGGTATTTCATTGACACCGACCAGAGAACTGACTCAGTGAAGTTGATTTGCTCTACTCTTTTTAAATCAAAATCGACCCGATTCAACGCAGATTGGATCTGAAAATCACCAGGTCACAAATCAAGATGTGTTGTAGGGACACCTCCTGGTAACTGGAAACACGTCCCCCTAACCCAGAGAACCCCACTCTGAAAATTGATCAAATTAGAGAGCCGATCCCATATCTACATCAGTTACTCATGGATTTCTCAGTNAAAAAATACCATGAAGTGGTAGCCCTAATAGTTAGTGGATAGAGCTGCAACTTACAGACCAAGAGCCGCTGGTTCGATCCTGGGCCATGCATAATTGGACACACTATTTTTTTTTACAAAAAGGAAAGAAATCCATGAAACACAACAAAATTCACTGTGTGATCTCTGGAACCAACTCTGATATAAGGCATACTTTTGATTCAATAAAAAGCAACCTTTTAATGGAAAACTGACAAAAGCAAAGGCATACTTTTTAAGTGTTGCAATTTTGTAAATATTTTGGGGCAAATTTGTTATGAACTACACATGTCTGTTTGGCTGGAGATTGCTTGTGTCTTCTTTAAGTGACTGCAAATAATAGTGCTTTGAGATGGGCAAGTGAATGTCATAGGAACATAGAAACATAGGAACAGGAGTAGATCATTCAGCTTTCGAGTCTGTTCCGCCATTTAATTGGATCATGGCTGATCTGTACCTCAACTAAACCTTTCAAATCTAATTTCCCGCTTTCTCCCCATATCCCTTACTACCCTGACCTACCAAAAATCTATCAACCTCACTCTTGAAGGTGTGGATGGATCCAGCATCCACGGCCTTTTATGGGGAGAGAATTCTAGATTTCTGCCACCCTTTGAGTGAAAAAATGCTTTCTGATTTCACTCTTAAATGGCCTGGTTCTAATTTTAAGACGATACCCCCTTGTTTTCAATTCCCCACCATGTCAATCACACAATGACTGCTTAGCACCATGTGACCTTTCCCAAAGACACTTCAAACTATTCTGTTGTTTCCAAAGCTGCTAATAAAAGGTCCTGCGGTGTTGGGTTTTGAAATAGTGAAAGATCAGAGCTGATGAGAACCTGGTCCCAGATGGAATCTACTCATGAATGAGAAATATGAGCATACAGCAGAATAGATTATTTTACTGTCACTTAACTTCAGGGTATCTGAAGTGTGGTTTTGCTGCACTCGTTAAGATCCTGACATAAATATGCAGCATTTCTTTAAGATGAACATCGATCGGCAAACTAAAATAGCGTAGTGGTTAATGTGCTCGCCTCGCAAGTGAGAGGATCCAGGTTCTATTCCTTAGGCAAGTTTCTTTACTCTGCACAGCTCTGTTTACCTACCAGTAATTAGAAACTCTTTTGTTAGTCGATTGGCAAATTCACTTTCCGGGGATAATAATCCCTCAAAACAAAATTAGTCACTTAATCCATAGCTGTTTGTGGGTTACTACTGTATTGGGACGTCCTCCCGACGTGAAAGGCGCTCTATAAATGCAATCTTCTTGTTGTTGTTGTTGTATATAATTGGCTGCTGCGTTTCACCCACAAAATACACAATCAATCCACTTTAGAATATATTCTGTGAATCGCTTTGATACGTCTCAACAACGTGAGAAGGCTCTATATCAAATGGAAGGATTATCATATTATTATTCTAAACTCCCTTCCATTACCGGCCTTGTCTGCTCGACAAATTTATGAGACCAATGTCTCCAAATTTATTCGTGAGGGGTCGTCTCATTTGTGTGACACTGGGATCAAACATGATTGTTTCGCTAACTGTTCATTCCTATTTTTAAATTTTGGCATCTTAAAGACATTTAGATTGGGACACAGCACAAATAGCAGTGGGAAAGTACTCTAGGGGGGGGGGGGGGCAGGACAGGAGCTTAGTCTCTTCACACGGAGAATCGGTCAAATTGCTCTGAGTTAGAGTTGCTGAATCTACACCCAGAGGTCGGGTTTTCATACTGTGCAGTGGAGGAGGCAGAGGGATATCTGTGGAGTTTTATCCTCCCCTAATCACCACAGTGCCTATTGCAGCTTCAAACCAGCCTGTGTGCATAACCTGGACCCGTCTTTCTCTGGCAAAAAAATAAGATGATGATCTGCTTCGGAATTTACCCAGAAGCAAAGCAATAAAGTATGTATGGAGTCCTGTAGCTCAGTGGTTAAAGCACTCGCTTCACAAGTGAGAGACCTGGGTTCAATTCCTGGCAGGGCGAGGATGTTGGGCAAGTTTCCTTACTTCACACACCTCTGTTTACCTAGCAGTAAGTAGGACCCAGGTATTCTGACTGGCGGATCGCTTTTTTGGGAGTAATAATTCCTTCAAAAAAAGTAATAATAAAAAAAATTGGTTACTTCAATCCACGGCTGTTTGTGGGACACCGCTGTGCGCAATTGGCTGCTGCGTTTTGCCCACAAAATATGCAGTCAATTCACTTTACAGCATATTCTGTGAAGCGCTTTGAGACGTCTCGAAGATATGATAAGGGGCTGTATCAAATGCAAGGATTATTATTATCATCATCTGCTCCATCCAAGCAGCAAGGCAACTGATGTGCCATGGACTCTAACCAAAAAAAAATCAATGTAAGACGCACGTACAAGAGACTAAAATCTCTAAACTCAGGCCTCCGTTGTATTGTTGGTGTTAAAAGGATGTCACTGTCAGTGCTCAACCTCCTTCGCGATGCTCGTCTGACCTCAAGCAGACGGCTGGCAGCTGAGATTCAAAATCCTCGCGAGCTTAGCCTTAGGACTCCATTAAAATTTGAGGTGGTGCAGAATAAAGAAAATAGAGTGAAGAAAATAAATTCACTCTATTTGGAAATGGCACAAAACCAGCTGGGTGAAACTAACGTGTGGAAGTCAAAGGTGGGGCGAAAGAGGTGGTTCATGCATGCGATCACAAAGCATATGATTTAGCACAGGTTTTAAGGATGAATTTTAATTGTGTTTCCTGTGCAGTCAGCAAAGTGTTGCTTAATTAAGGAACATCATTAATTACCGAATGGTATGAACAGCACAGAATGATACAACAAGGAAACATGTCAAATACTGCACTTCTATTCCCCTCACCTCTGTATTCCCTTCTCCCTCATGTATGCATGAACTTTCCTCTTAGATACATTGATTGTTTCTACTTCAAACACAGCTTCCGGCAGTGAATTCCCCATTCTCAGCATCCTCTGCATAAAGAAGTTCCTCTTGAACCCCCATTGTATCTGCTACTGGTTCTCTTATATTTATGCCCCAAGTGGACACAGACTATCAATGTCCACCTTTTCAAATCCTTTCACAATATAAAACACCTCGATAAAGTTCCCTCTCAATCATCTGATCTCCAGAGAAAAAAGTTCTAACCTAAATCTTTCTGGAGTTTAGGAACACTGCAATTCTCACCCCTTTTCTCTGTCAGCGGCTGTCAAACAGAAACCCACCGTCATGACAATGGGTTTCCGTCCGTGTCTGACAACTAACTGGCTGTCAAAAATAACTATATTTCTCTCATCCCTTATCTTCTCA